CAGTGGTTGAGAGTCGACCTATAAACCAGGAGGTCATGGTTTGATTCCTGGTCAGGGCACATGACCTTTTGCACATCATGTTCTGTGACCTAAATAGTGGGGCTTTCGGAGGCAACCCATCAATGATTCTCTGTCATTATTGATCTCTCTCTCTCTCTCTCTCTCTCTCTCTCTTTCTCCCCCTTCCTCTCTGAAATCAATAAAAATATATTTTAAAAAAGAATTTGGGTGAGGGCATTTTTGATATTTCAAAAATTTGCCTTAGATAACCCCTGATTTGAATACATGCATAGAAAAGAGACTGTCTGCTGTGGAAATCTGAGCACGTGCCTGTGTTAGGTCCAGTGGTGTTGCCTCCACAGTTTTATTTCAATTCATTTAAAGTCAAACACCTATTTATTGAAAGCCTAGTAATAGTACTCCTTTGTGTTCTTTGAAGGCTAAAAAGGGGCCTACAATGATTGCTAATTCATAAAATGTAACCATGGACACAGACTGTAGGGGAGTGAGGGTGGCTGGGGAGAGGTCAATGGGAGAGGGAGAAGACATATGTGATACTTTAACCAATAAAGAATTTAAATTTTTTAAAAAAGAAGAAGCTCTTTCTGGGTCTGCTTGGCCCCGATCATCTTCAGCTCAATATAATCTATACGGCACATTCTGGGGTGGCGAGTTCTGCTTCACCTCACCTACACCAGGTCTATTCAGTTACTCTTGGCTCTCACAACAGGAAAGGGGGCAGCCTGGCTTTAACTAGAAAGCTTGAGGGTATCATCGTATCATTTCTGTAGTGTCTGCATTAGAAGATACCGAGAGGGAGACCTAAATCTGAAGAAAAATTAAAGTGATACACATGACGAGATGAAGTATGTTGTAGCAACAGGTCAGGACAGAATCAGGAGACCTCCCAGATGTCTTCTCAGGCCATTCACTTCCCTTTTCTAGATTCCAATTTCTTTATCCATAAAGGGAAGGGTTAACCAGCTGAAGTTTTCTTTCTGCATGAATAGACTATTGGTGAAAGGGTCACCTAAGGGATTTCTTTCTATATTTGGGAGCATTTCTCCTTCTTGGTCTTTGCCAAAGACTGTGTTTCCATTTACCTGTGAATTCTCAGGGATGACACAACTACCGGATGGTGATTATATCAGGTTATACCTTAAAATGTCCCGGGGTCAAACTTAGAAAGGAAACAAGGTAATGGAGAAGCTTTGTGTTATAAAAATCTGCCTTTTAATAAGAAAACTCTTATTAAAAAAAGTTGTCCCTCTTAAAAGGAACTCTGATCTTGACTCCTTTCTGCACCTTCATAGACATGTTTTCTTCACATAGAGCATTGCCAATGATCCCTTGATTCTCACTTCTTTCAGTGTGTCCCCTGGAAGTCATGTCTCTGTTGGGACCCCCAGCTTCTAGTTGTGACCAAGATTGCTACTGGAGCCACAGTGTTTTTGCATACACTGGTGCAAAGAAATGCATAAGCAAGATAGAAAGAAAAATCATTTAATATTGAATTGGACAATCCAGAAATAGGAAACTAATGTTAAAGATGCCATTTTCCCACAGCCATGTAGGTTACAGATTATATAGAGCAACATCACAAGGAACTGTGGGTTAGGGATTTCCGTTCACGCTGGGAACTGAGAGGTCAGAGGTGAGATAAGAGTAATAAAGAGTTTCCTCAGGTCTTGAGGATAGTTCTGAGGTCTGCTTCTGTGTTGCTCTCTCTGGTCTCACTGGAAATTAGCCAGAGGATCTCTAACAGAACTCCGATCAAGATTTTATCTTTAATCTGCCAGAGTTCCAGACACTATGACCATTAGTCAGGTCTAGACTTCTGCTGCCTAGGGGGTTGCTGATTATGGAGGGAAGGTTAGGTCTCTGAGGGGTATAGAGAGAAAGAGATATGGTTTCTAGAGCTGGGGTTAAAGCTAAATGAAATAAAAGTCATAAGGATTTGATCATAATCTTTTTGTAGCTCCTTCTACCACAGAGAGAGGTCTGAGCATGTAGTTGATCTCCCTTCTCATCCCCATTACCAATCTATTTCAAATGCCTTGCAGTACAGTAAAGGAAGGATAATAACAAATCATTGAACAATGAAGGTGTGTCCGGATTAAGCCAAATACTTTTCTTTATATTTTAATGTAATCCTATGATAACTCTTGAGGTAACCACTCTCATTCCAATTTTACAAGTGAATACATTAACTCTTAGAGAGATTAAAGGGATTGCCCAGGGTCATAAAACAATGGAGCTAAGATTCTAAAGCAGGCCTATTTGACCTCAGAACTTAAACTTATAACCACTGCATTGTTCTATGCCTGCCCAAATGGCCCTCATCTACTTTACCTACTTGGGGCATTTGATGAGACCACTAAAATGTGGGTGCAGTTTTCTATTCTTTGCAACCTTTCAGTGAGAACATTCTTTCACTTCTTTTGTATCTTGGGTGATTTTTATTTTGTATCTTTCACCCTATATTTTCTAGTCTTCCTGAAAGTCTTCCAAAAAACAGATTCCTTCCTGCTCTGAATGAGACCAGTTCTTGTGTGCTTTCAGTGGGGCTTAGGAACACACCCTCTGTGTAGTAATTGTTCACACAAAGGACATTTACTACTGATATCCTTTAAGCCCTATTCTCCAACTAGAGTCATTCACACCTATTTATTGAGCACCTACTAAGTTCAAGGTAGTTTTAGGCACCAGGAATACAGTGGTGAACAACACAGACGGGCCCTGCCCTAATGTAGCACCATCCTGATGGTGAAGAACCAGCCACTCCCATATTTTCTAATAAATCCCATTTTTCTGCTTTCCAGCCAAACAGCCATATTCCTCTTATGATTCATTTTTATTTTTGGTTAAACCTCACCCAAGGATCTATTTTTTCCATTGATTTTTTAGAGAAAGTGAAAGGGAATAAGAGGTAGAGGGAGAAAGAGACAGAGACGGTGACAGAGACAGTGACAGAGGGAGAGGGAGAGGGAGAGGGAGAGGGAGAGGGAGAGGGAGAGAACGAAACATCAATGTGAGAGAGACACATTGACTGGTGGCCTCCCACATGGGCCACAACTGGGTGAGTGATTGAACCTGCAACCCAGGTACTTACCCTTGACCGGGAATTGAACCTGAGACCCTTTGGGGTCCAGGCTGATGCTCTTACCACTGAGCAACACTGACCAGGACACCTCTTATGATTCTTGAGTTATATTCAGTATTTGAAAAGATCACCTTATAATTCTTCTACATGAACTTCATTTTTATGAATCCTGCACTCACACCTGGTTGGAAACCTAAGATGCATGATGTTCTTTCAGGCCAAGGGGAAGGGAAGGAATATTAGTGAGCACCTGTAGTATATGCTGGTATTTATAACACCTTGTCTCAATTAACCATCACAAAAGCATAAGGAAGCCAAGGTTATTATTCTAATTTTCAAATTAAATACTTGAAAGATTTTAGAAGTCAAATCCCAGAGCTTGAAAAAAAGCAGAGCTTGGAGGTGGATGCTAAATTCCTTCCTACTTAGGAAGTGACTCATTCTCCCGGACTCTAGCCTCAGGGAAATGCTGGTGAACAGCCAGCATTTTCAGGACCTGGAAGATGGGTCAGAGCAATGACTGAACCATAGCACAGTATTTTGCTGCTCAACACCACCTCAGACTGTTCATATGGAATCAGGAGATAGTCCCACTGTTTGCACTTCAACCTTCAGGGGGATGACTTCATTGCTAATTCTCAAAGTTTTCAGTCTTCAAACATTCTCTATTGACTGGGAGGCAGATTCTGTGTTAATGGGACAATTAAGTCACAGGGGAAGGCAGTTGAGCTGATAAGGAGGTAGAGAGGTTCTGGAGGCAAACTTTTTATCTCCCAAAGTTGAAGTATTGACTTTCATGCTGCCAACTCCAGATGATTTCCTCTAGGGAAATTTGCTTCTGGAACCTCTCTACACAGCTACCCAGTTGGGAATGGGCCTCTGATTAGATGCCTGAAAATGTGAAGTTATAGAAACAGAACCTAAGCCTGTACAACACATAGAACAAACATCAAAGCATCATGATGTCATAAACTTTTCTTTGATAAACATGAAATCTCTACATCAGTGATTCCCAAAGTGGGCGCTACCGCCCCCTGGTGGGCGCTGCAGCGATCCAGGGGGGCGGTGATGGCCACAGGTGCATTTGTTTTAACTTTTTTTGTATTACCTTTCTATTCTGAGTTCAATAAATAGTTTCATAATTTCAAACTTCAATGTTTCTAATTTACACCTTTCTTTACTATATTTTACGAAAAAGGTAGAAACATTAATACATATATCTTTCTGTTTAATTGCTATTAAAATTTAAAAAAATTAATTTCCAGGCGGCGCTGAGTAATATTTTTTTCTGGAAAGGGGGCGGTAGGCCAAATAAGTTTGGGAACCACTGCTCTACATCAAGGTTCTTCAGGGAGCTAGATTAAGCATAGAGAGGATGCCTCTATTCTAGCAAAAAGCATTTTATTTATCTAACCCTTTACATTCAGTATTGTGTTGTTGTTGTTTTTTTAATAAAAGCTTACTTCATCTATAATGAACATAAAGAAGGTATTACAGTGAAAATTCAGGTACTAAACTCTCTAAAAATTTATTTTTTAGTTATTTCTATATTTTAGGTGCTCAGAATTTCTTGTATAATGGCTTATTTTGCAAGATGGGTAGAAGAAGGAACTCATTTCATTTGAAGAAATATAACCTCAAGTTGTCTGAGTGAGGGTTGACGTCATTGCTAATTGAACCATTGATGGGTTAGATACGAATTGACCCATTGTTGGTCCAGTAAGGTCATACTCCTGTTTGTGGGTTTTTGAGATTTGTAGAAAGATGATATTAACTATGAGTCACTCAAAGGATTTCCTCTTCATGTCTGGCTTAAAAGATATATAAAGAGACACATTTAAGGACTTGTACTAGAAAAGACAAGGTGACTTAGGTTGTCATTCAGGAGAAGTTTAGAATGAAGTTTCTTCTCTTGATGCTGGTCCTGCAGGCCATTGCTCCTGGAGCTGTTTCTCGGATAAACTCTAAAGAAAAGAATGTGGCATTTGCTCAAGTAAGTATTAACCGCTCCAGTATTTATCTAACCTGCTTTCTGTCTTTAAGATTGATTACATTGACCAGTTTTATATTGAAAAGTACTATTTGGAAAAAACTTGTTTAAGGAGCTATTTGATTTTAGCACTGAAGTTTTCTTTGCCAAAGAGGAGTGTAATAAAGAGACGCTGGTTTTGAAGGAGTGTGATAAAATTGGTGGTTGAATTTGTCCCTTTTACTAAAAAGCCTAGGCCAAGGATTTTTAGTTCAAAATAATTGGTGCTCTACTTCTGTTACGGTATTTTACATTAACCATTTAATGCTGGTAATAATCTGAGATTTGAATAATGTTTTGATTATTTTAACCACTTCAGTCTTCCATGATAATTCAAGAATACTATTTTATTAAATATATTTTATTAAATATATTTTTATTTATTTCAGAAGGGAGAGGGAGAGAGAGATTGAAATATCAATGATGAGAATCATTGATCGGCTGCCTCCTGCAAGACCCTACTGATAACCCAGGCATGTGCCTTTGACCGAAATCGAACCTGAGACTCTTCAATCCCCAGGCTGATGCTCTATCCACTGAGCCAAACCAGCCAGGGCAAGAATACTCTTTACTGTCTCTATCTCAGATATTTCTTCCTGAACAGTTTTTAAAATATAACTTTTTAATTCATTTCTTTCCCCTAACTACATGAGTTCAGATGATGTCCCCATTTTCTAAGACTGTTTTAACATTGAATTTGTCATGGTTGTCCATTTTGTTGAGCTTTGGATTTTTAGGCAAGAACATTTTATTCGAACTTAATTTATGGATCCTGACAATAAAGGTTTTTCTGCCCTAGTTGGTTTGGCTCAGTGGATAGAGCGTCAGCCTGTGGTCCCAGGTTTGATTTTGGTCAAGGGCACATGCCCGGGTTGTGGGCTTGATCCCCAGTAGGGGGCGGGCAGGAAGCAGCCAATCAATGATTCTCTCTCATCATTGATGTTTCTATCTCTCCCTCTCCCTTCCTCTCTGAAATAAATTAAAAAATATTTAAAAATAAATAAATAAATAAAGGTTTTTCTGATTTACTGAATGCCATGATGTGTCAGATGCTGAAATAAGTTTTTAAAAGTAGAAACAAGTTTGAAGCAGTAGAGACATAAGGATGTTTTTAGTGGGCTTCCAGGAATCAATCTTGCTAATAATTTATGACATGTATGACAGCACAAAAATTTTTTCTTATTATGATTAATTTTCTGATACCTGATTCAAACTTATCAGTGCACAGTTGATCCACATATGCAGAGCTCCAACAGAAAACTTTAGATATATAATAAGGTAATACTGAATTTATTTTTCCAGAGGTACTTGAAACGCTTTTATGGCTTCAACATGGGGGCAATTTCAGCGACAAAAATGAAAGTCAATGAGAACTTCATGGAGAATCAAATTCAGGAAATGCAACAGTTCTTGGGACTAAATGTGACAGGGCAACTGGACAAGTCCACTCTGGACATGATGCACAGACCTCGATGTGGATTGCCTGATGTTTATCGTTTCGACACAACGCAAGGGAGGCCAGTATGGGAGAAGTATCTCATTACCTACAGGTAACATCATAGCCATGTATTTTTCTGCTTCCCCACAGGTCTGACTTCTGGAATCCTGAAAATTTTAGATATGACCCTACATTTGGTCGTGACTAAGCAGCCTCCCTCAACTGTTAACACTTACCCTCTGTTCAAGTTCATTATCTCCAGGAGCGAGGATTGTTCACTCAAGGATGGTTTGGCTTGCCAGTCCAGACCTGAGTAGAAAGCCTGCAAATGAAAGGAGAATGAAATTACAATAAATAAGACACAGGATAATTTTTTCTCAAGTAGTCAAGATGAATAAATGCAGATGTCTTGGAGCAGGGGCAAAAGGCATAAGCTTCTATGAATGTAAATCATTTGTAAGGGTCACCTATAAATGACCTATGAGAACAAATCAAGTTAGATTCCATTTAAGGAGAAAGTTGTCCAAGGATAAACATTTCTGTATATCGAAAGTGTGCTTTTAAAAAAAATTGGTACAATTAATTTATGAAATAACTCATTCTCCAATGATACCAGCAGATATGAAATATTATAATATAAAAAAATTAGCACATGGTTTCATATATTTTTTTCTTTTTTGTTTTGCTGATAAAGAATCAGTAATTACACTACTGACATGAAGCGTGAGGATGTTGACGATGCTATAGAGAAAGCTTTTCAAGTATGGAGTGATGTGACCCCTTTGAAATTCATCATGATCAATGCAGGAGAGGCTGACATTATGATAAGATTTACAGCTGCAGGTAGAGAACTTGGACTTATTTCATCTCTATCATTTGATATGACCTAGACTGTAGTGGTCGGCAAACTGCGGCTCATGAGCCACATGCGGCTCTTTGGCCCCTTGAGTGTGGCTCTTCCACAAAATACCGACTTCTGTGCATGGGCCACGAAGTTTCAATCGCACTGTACGTGCAAGAGCCACACTCAAGGGGCCAAAGAACCACATGTGGCTCACGAGCCGCAGTTTGCCGACCACTGACCTAGAGTATACATAGAAAGATTAATCTTCTTTTCCTTTTCAAAAGATTATGGAGACTTTTACCGTTTTGATGGCAAAGATGGAGTTATAGCTCATGCTTTTAAACCTGGACCTGGTTTTGGAGGAGACATATATTTTGATGAGGCTGAACGCTGGACTATGAACCACAAAGGTAGGCAAACAAGTAAACAAAACCACAAAAGAAAACCCTAACAAATTATAAATAGTGCCACCATTTTGGAAGAGGCTACATAGCTACTTCGTATAAACTCAGAAACCTCAGGAACTATAGGTATGTTATGTGATCGATTTTGACAGTGCAATCCATAAACTCACACAAACATAGGTACTAATTCTGTATATGCTAACAATCCTAAAATGGTGTGGTTATCTTCCTGATCCATTATCTATAATAATAAAAGCATAATATGCTAATTAGACCGGAAGTCCTTCCAGACGAAGCTGTGGCAGTGGGGGCCAAGGCAGAGATAGCCGTGACGACGGTGGTGGGGGCCAAGACTCTTGCATGAATTTCATGCATCGGACCTCTAGTATGTTGATAATTTCTTAGATTCATAGTGACACAGAAAGGCAATACTGTAGAGAATTTAGAGAACCTCATAGAGATACACCATGTTATTTGGTCATGTAGTCTCTTGTGGTTCTAGGATAAAAGTTTCAGAATGCCCAACTAGTCATTCAATCATAACTTGTATGTATTTACAGAGGAGCTGTAAGTCACCATTCCTATATAAAAGTGAAGATGTGAATAATTAACCTCCCTTATTTGGAGGAATCACTTTCCATTGGAAAGTTGGAGCCATCATATCAGAAGCCTACTTAATCTCTCTATTGGGAATCCTAGATTATGTGACTGAGTCATGTAGAAAGTAAATGGAGAGAATGTCATGAAGAATATGCTTTTCTCAGCATCCCCCTTTGTCTTACTGATACTGCAAATGTTAGATAGTAATAGTTTATAGGCCAGAAAGACTATTTATTTTAGTCTGACACATGGTCTAAAGCTTATAGTATTCTTAAGTGATAAGAGGATTTTTACATTGTCAAAAGACAAATGATGTATGATTTGTTTTTTTCTGAGCTAAAAATTTTCAACTTAGACGTATTAAATTTGTCTAAATTTTATGAAAGAATATTTTGGTTTTATAATCATTTCATTTGGTGTGGGAGAATTGTGCCAGCTAGCTAGAATGTTTTGAAATTCTAAAGGACCTTGGAAAAATCACTTAATATAGTTTTTTTACAGTTAGAGGAAATTGAGACCAAGGGAAAGTTAGTGGCTAGCTTGTGAAAAGCTAGGGTCAGAACATGCATTTCCTAATTCTTACTTTAGTCCAATGTTAGTCAAATGAATTCTAACTGTCCATGTTGCCTTATTTTTAATTGGCTCAATTTTATATTTTTCAATAGCTAAATTATAAAAATTCTAACTTAAAGTGCTCATTCTCAACCTAATTTTTGACACTGTAAATTAGATGAACAATCAGCTCAATGGTTACTTTCTATTAGAGTGTTAAGTGATGCCGTGGGGGTAATTTCAGTGACAAAAATGAAAGTCAATGAGAACTTTGGTTACACAGATAAAAAGGACGAGGAACACACAATGTAGGAAACAAACAAACAAACAAACAAACAAACAAACAAAAAACCCCACAAACAAAAATCCATTATTTTGAGATAAGAACCAGTCTATACAAAGTATTATATGAGTTGGGAATAAGATAAATTTAGGTTTAAGCCAAAATATCAAAGGCTTTGTTTACTCTTTCCTGTATTATGCAGAGCAGAGAGAATGACAGAATCTACACTTCTTTTTCATTATTTGAGAGAAATTCAAGCATTTCCAAGTTTGTTGCTAAACCCCTGTGTTACAGGGAATGTTCCTGGACACCTCCCAAAAGACAGTAGACTCTATGTTCATGCTTGGGTAGTGGAGAGTATTTCAAGGCCTTGCTCTGAGGCTAAGTGGACTTTGACCCTGGGCAAGTCAATTCTGAGCGTCAGTTTTGCCACAAAACAGGAAGAAATAATGAGGGCATTAGACCAGAACACAGATAAAAACTAAGATTAAGGGGTTATTCAGATCTTCTTAAGAAGCTTCAGAGAAAGGACACACCTCTCTATCTTACCTACAAAGGTGCATGCTCTAAGAGATACAGAAAAAAATGAACAAGCATGACTATAACTTGTCAGTGTAAATATATCTCACTTGTAAGCATAGTCTCTGATTTTATTTAGAATCATGTGTAGTAAAAAGGTGAGCTTTATTTAGAGCCAAGAAATTCAAATTTGAAACTTGGGTCAGCACTTAATTTGGTCAATTAATCTTGCTGATACTGTGTCTTCATCTGTAGATGGAGAGTGTGGTGGCTTCCTTTTAGTTACATAAGGATTATACATAATGTGGTATATTTCTCAGTGACTCATAGTACCTGGAACTTCATATTGCCTTATATTTGGGTTTAGTAAAGAATGGTTATTAAGTACTTTTTTATATGCACTCAAGACTGACCAAGAGTAAAAGTAGGATGAAGTGATAATAACTCAGAGGCAGTGAGAATTATTGAACACAGCTATGAGTTATTGTAGAGATTTTCACAACAGAATATATGTCATTTGTGTGATAGTGCAGTGATCCTTAACCAGAGGCAATTTTGCTCCCAAGGGGACATTAGACAATGTGTGGAGACATTTTGGTTATAAAAACTGAAGAGGGATTTGTTACTTATTTAATGGTAAGCCAGGGATTTCTAAAAAACAAAACAAAACAAAACAATTATCTGGGCTATAATGTCAATAGTACCAAGACTTGAAAAACCTTGTGCAAGGAGGGGAACCAAGTAAAGGATTCCCAAATGTTTCCCTTCTCATTGTGTCAGATTTAAATTGTGTTATTGTCTTCTAGCTGCCTGTAGATTTCACTGCTCTTTTCCTCTTCTGGTTGGTTTCCTCTTAGGCATCAACTTGTTCCTAGTTGCTGTTCATGAGGTTGGCCATGCCTTGGGTCTAGACCACTCCAGTGATCCACAGGCCATAATGTACCCCATCTACAGTTATGTGGACCACAACACATTTCAACTCTCTAATGATGATATACATGCCATTCAGTCTCTCTATGGTAAGTTGAATTTCTTTACTGTTTTGCCTTATATTCACGCTTCTGAGTGGTTTCATGATACCTGCATTTGGCTAAAACTTTAACATCTGTATTCACTTTTGAATCCCATGGAAACCCTGTGAGGTAGGTAGCACAGATATTATGTTCATTTTTGTAGATGAGCACAAGAGATCTAGTATGTTAATGCCAGAGCCAGAGGCAAAACCTAAGCCTTCTGGCCTTGAATCTGTTATTTCTATCTAACATACCATTGTCTATTGAAGAAGGTACACAGAGAAAAAAAATATAACTGGAACAAGAAAACCATAGTGAACAGATTTTTCCTCCTCCATAATGTTGCAACCACATGGGGAAAAACTTTTTTGTCTGCTTTCTGTAAATGTTATAGAAAGCATAAATTGCTTTTTATGCATTTTTCATCAAGAAAATTGAATGTTTTTTAAAAAAGAATGATTCTTCCTTTGATGAACTAAAAATTAGATTTTTTTCTAATGCTTCTTGAAACGTATTTTCAGGAGGTCCAGAAAACTTCCAACTCTCATCAAATCCTAACAGTACAGAACCAGCTTACTGTGATCCCAATTTTCATTTTGATGCTGCCACTAGAGTGGGAAATGGAATCTTCTACTTTAAAGACAGGTAGGATTATTTTTATACCTGACCAAATTTAAAGGTTTTTCTCCTAAAGTGTGCTCTGTTGTTGTTCTTATTGTAGAATAATAGAAAATGATGGAAGATTAAGTAGATGAAAATAGTAAATAGGGACTTGGACTTGATTCTGTAGGTAGTGGAGAGATCTTGAAGATTTTGAAGCAAGAAAGTGGTATGATTATATTTATATCTTAACTAGAAAACTGGTGTGTAAATAATGGATTTACAATTGGAATCTGGGCTGGGGACTTATAAGACAGGAAACAGAGAAGCCAGACTATTTAAATCATAGATAAAAAATAGTGTCTGAAACTAAATCTGTGGCAGAGTACTTATTTAAAGGATTTGATTCTTGATTATAGAGAAGGGAAGTCCAGGATGACTTATGGTTCATGTCTTACAACACAGACTGAAGCAGATATTAGAAGTGTGGGGGAAGTATAGAAGATTAGTATTTGGAAGGGAGAAAAAATATTCTTCATTTTTGAGATTCAAACACTTAGATACTTGAGATTAAGTGACTTCCTTTAGATTATAAAGCTAGTGAATGGATTGTGGGACCAGACTAAATAATGATCCTTTGATTCCAATATCCAGGGTATAACAGTTTGTCTGTTAATACCATTGCTATTATCAAAGAACTGATTTAACATTTTTTTCCTTGTGGTGCTCCTACACAGACATCCATGGAATAGAATGTGAAGATCATGAAAAGAAACATTAAACTGTTTCACAGGTCCTTTCCACTCACATTTCATGGTTCTTGAGTCCACAACAATTTTTTAACATGTATTTAATGTTTTACATGTCAGTTTCTTCTGGATGCAGATTCCTGGGAATCCAAATGCCAGTATTGGTTTAATTTCTTTCTTATGGCCAAACTTCACATCTGGTATTCAAGCTGCTTATGACACTGAAACTGGACAACACGTTTTTCTTTTTAAAGGTAATTCCAGTGTTCGGTTTTGCTATTGAGTCTACTTCAAGGAAGAGAATAAATTAAGGAAATACTACAATTTTTTATAAATATAGATTTTTAAAAAACCACTCCAAATTGTATTAATTGTACACTGAACTATAACCTAACATAAATTAAATAGATGATATATAAAACTTCCAAGAAAAGTTTGTAAAATATAAATTGTAATACTTATGGGGGGGAGGGAAATACAGAACCATAGAAAATGGGCTATGTTTAAGAACAAGGAACAATACACTTTGGAAGAATGGGAAAAGAATGATGTTCACAGTGAGTCAACATATATTTCTATTACTCTTTCTGTATGATTCCAATGTGCTCTTTTCTTTGTATTCACAGATGATAAGTACTGGTTAATCAGTAATTTAAGACCACAGCCAAATTACCCCAGAAGCATACATTCTTTGGGCTTTCCTGAGTCTGTAAAAAGAATTGATGCAGCTGTTTATAACCCACTTCTTCGTAAGACCTACTTCTTTGTAGATGAAGTGTATTGGAGGTGAGCTTTAATGATTACTAATTTGACCTCTAAGATAGTGAAACAAGCAGGGAATGGGATTTTCCAGAAGAATAGTTTTACATACAACTTCCCAAAGATTTTTTTATCTTCCAGGGAGATAAATCAAGAGAATATAGGACTAGAATATTCATTGTCTATCTAGTTCTTTTCTCTGGACTTTTAGATTCTGAATTTTGAAATAACACATAGTGTATTTTAAAGGAATACTTTACATTAAATGTCATGGTATCAATCATAGTGGAAACACATTGGGAAATAGTGATGGAGATGTATGGGACCTAGTCTTTACAGTCAGGTGGGAGGGTGTACGGAGTTTCAGATTCCTTTCCAGAATCACTGGACCCATGAAGACAAAACGAGGAAACTATCTTCTGAATGACAGCTGATCCTACAAGGTCTTCACTAACAGGAAATTAGACAACCAGGCTCTATAAAAAGGGACTGAGCACTGCGAAAGCATTATGGAGGAGGGAGGAGAGTGTTTGACTGGTAGTCAAGAAGACTGGGGTTAGAGTCCCATAGGGACATGGAATATATCAGTGAACTGTTTACCATAGGTCCTGGGTTTTCCCATCAGTGCAGCTCAACTCTTTTTAGTAAGTACCTTTCAGGACAGAAGTAGGTGGGTTTTGTTGTTCAAGTCATGAAGTGTCAAGTTTTTGTCATGAAGTCTATTTATGCTGAAGTTTCTGCTGTTTGTTTTTTTGCTTAGGTTTGATGAGAGAAAGCAATGCATGGACCCTGGTTATCCCAAATTGACTATTGACCACTTCCAAGGAATTGGGCCTACAATTGATGCAGTCTTCTATTATAACAGTAAGTAGACTAGGAAACTATGAAGATACTTGAAATCTTTTTTTAAAACACAGAGCCTTTCATACTTTTTTATACTTTGCATTCTTTACCTTCCTTTCATCTCCTTTCACACTTCATGGGCTCTCAAGGACTGGGGCTGATGGTGGGATGAGAGAGCTTGAGTTTGTATTCGTGAATGTCTTTAAGCAAAATCAACCTAAGCAAATTGTTGACTAGGCCAAGATATTTTGTGTTTTTCTTGCCACCCCCATGAGCTTTGTACTTCTTCCATCAAGGCTTTGGTGTGTGTACCTGGGCCCAATCTCCTCTCTCCCACTCTGAGTTCTCCACTTGGAGTGTAACTTTTAAAAAACATTTGCATGTTAAAAGTCAGCCTTTAAAACAAAACAACCTTCTCAATAAAATTAATGAGAATATTTAATGGTGAAATGACTGACAGTAGGCAGATATCTGGGGGCGAAGGGATTCAAACTTTATATATTTGAATCAGACCTTATTTAATGTAGATAATCTAAAAAATAAATGATAATCTATGTTATCTTTTCAAAGAAATACAAGCAGAGAATTAAACTATTCAATTTGTTTTCGTTTTTAGAACACTACTATTTTTACCAAGGAGCTGTCATATTTGAATATAATACCCCAACCAACCGTGTCTTCAGAGTACTGAATCGGAATGCTACCCTTAATTGTTAGGAATTATATAATTACTGCTGTTTGCCAATTTACTCTAGTTTAATATGTATTTTTGCATACTTGTTATGTGCCTAGTGTATCACTAAATAGTGACATATATCATAAAATAAGGTAAAATCTATAGGCCATAGACAAATAATCATATAGATAAATTATTATACAAAATATATAAGATTTTTTTTAATTTTAAAAATTCTCATTGTCAATTTTTACTTTACTCTGCTATTAAGTTTGAAAATAAACACCTTTAAAGGCCAAGAGAATATGTTGGTCATTAACATCCTTAAACTGAGAAATTATCATTATTTCTCTGGATTAATCAAATTTAGAGAAAAGATTAGTTTCTTTGACCATTAAATGTTTCAGTAAGGGTACCATTTTAATTGTAATAAGAACAGAATATATCTAGAACTTTAAAAATGACAATGATGTAGGTAAGATATATAAGTAAGTTATATAATTATGGTGATAATATACTTTTATTTGGTTGACAGTGTTGACTTTTCTACTATTTTATATAAAGTATATGTACTTCTAATGTTCAAATAAAAACTCTAAAACAAAATATTTGGATTTTAAGAATTTTTCTTGAAAACTGGAATGTGTATATTGAAAATAATTCTGGACCTGTTCCTAAATAAAACAAGTCTCTATATGATTATACCAAGGGGTGAATAGAAATATGGCAACTAGGATTTAAAAAAGGTTGTATTTGCTTTGGCTACTTGTTTAAAGCCACCTGAATCCTTGGTCTCAAGTCAAGAAAACATTCTCCAGACTGCATATGACTCCAAGGAACACCTACAGTGTGAACCACAAACATGGAAAGAAGAAGGCATGAAATAGGAACTTCCCATTTTGGTAAATTTCTGTTATAGATCAAGTCTCACAATAGGTGCCATTTAATTGCTGTGTGACCTTGGAAAGAGATTGAATCTAAGCTTCCTTAAATTTAGGGGAAAATATTAATGGTACCTATCTCATAGATTTATTGTGACAAAAATGATGCATGATATATGGTGAGAACACCATGCTGGTAGGTTGGCCTACCTTATATCAATTTTCTCCACTATCTTTTTAAAAAAAATTTTTTTTAAATATGTTTTTATTGATTTTCGAGAGAGATAGGGGATTAGGATAGAGAGAGAAACATCAGTAAGAGAGAAACATTGATTGGCTGCTTCCTGCACACCCCCTACTGGGGATTGAGCCTGCTACCCAGAATATACCCTGATTGGAAATCAAACCAGGAACCTCATGGTTCAACCACTGAGCAACATTGGCCAGGAAATTTTCTCCCCTGCTTTTACACACATGCTCCCTATTTTCTGGATTGTACACATATTAAAGCTCCCTCTAATGTCTTATAGATTTGTGGAATGCTTGGAGTTTTTAATGTATTTTCAGACTATTACTGACGGATGTACTCAAGACCCAAAAAAAGGTCAAGTTTATTTCAGCTCAGATGATTGTTCTTAGCTAGTAGAATGAACTGAGATCAGAGAAAATACGAGGATCAAAAAGAATCTAGATGGCGACAAAGCTCCCTGTTCTTCATAGGTTAGGTCCATTCTTAAGGATGTGCTCCTTTGGTGGAGCACATGATATTAACCCCACAGTGGTCTTTATGGGAAACAGGATCAAGTCATCTTTAGAAGAAATGCTATTTACCTACAGGAAACTAACTGCTGGACTTCCTTCAAAGGAAGAAACTTCCCCCACAGGATAAGCATCAAAAGAAAACTTAATGGTATCTTGGTTGAGATGTCTTTGGCCTTAGGATATTCAGGAATAAGCAGTTTCTCTTAAGTAATGGCTATCCTATATAATAAAGAGCTAATAGGCTAATGGTCGTGATGCCCTCACACTAGAACATCTGATCAGCAGGTGCGCATGGTGGGCAGGAACTTGACTCTGGAGGACTTGACCAGAGGCACGGGCGGGTTTCTGGGTCCCGCTGGCACAGCGGTTGGATTTCTGGGTCCCGTCTCCCTGGTCGCGGGACTCCTTCTGGGCAGGAGAGTGGGGCTGCGTGCGTGGGGAGGTGCATGTGAAGAGAGGTTCTGGGACTCACGCGATTTCGCATGCCAGGAAACTAGTACTGTGGGGCCTTGACTTACGAGTTTAATTCGTTCCATGATGGAGCTCATAACTCAAATTACTGTGATGTCAAATTACTCGTATGTCAAATCACTGTGATGTTCGCTGTGCCAACTAGCGGTGGGGTATCTGAAGCTGTCTCTCTCATAACCCGAATTTTAGCTCACAACTCAACTCAAAGCAAAAAATCGGCCAAGAGACAGTTCATATCTCGAAAAACTCGGGACACTCGTAAGTCAAGACCCCACTGTATTGGAATAAAGGCCCAGAGTACATCTCTCTCAGTTTCATGAGTGTTCATGAGAAACGCCTTTAAAGATTTAAAAGTGAACCCTTTTTTCTTCTACGTCTATTTGTGTTATATTATAAAATTTTGTTTAACAAATCCTTATAATGCTAACCATGTGCCAGACACTCCCCAAAATCTGCACACACACACACACACACACACACACACATACACACACACAATCTATAATAATAAAAGGGTAATATGCTAATTAGACCATTAGACCAAACATCTTTCCAGGCATCATTCTGGCCGAAGCCAGGGCTGGAGCAAATCGCCTGATTCCAGGTGGAGCAAAGCCCTGGCAGCTGGGGGCAGGAAGGCCTATTCTTGCATGAATTTTCGCTCATCAGGCCTCTAGTTTTTAATAATAACTAATAATGACTAATAATAACCTAATCATTAAAATTATGAGATAAATACTATCATTCATATTTTTAAAATGAGGAAAATGAGGCACTGAGAGGTGAACTAATTTGCCCTAAGTCACATAGCCTTGGAGCTGCAATTCAAAGCCAGGCAGTTGGACTTCAGAATTTGTGTTATTAACCACCACAAAATTCTGCCTTTCAAATTTAGAAAGAGAAAAAAAATCAAATAAAGTAACAACTCCTGGCATTCTATGCTATTTGTACTTTAACTTGACCTTTCGATCAAAAGTTCTTTAACATGTTATAAAAATTCTTTGTGTGTCTAGATCGGAGAATACCATTTTCCCTTGGAAAAGGTAGTAGTGACATCTTGATAATGTCAGGGGAAAAATTGTCCAAGACTTAGAAATTACAGGTCTGTGATTGGCATGAAGGATCAAAAGATAATTAAAACTGTCTGCCTCAAAGGCACAAAATATGGTAAAAACATAAAAAAGACAGACATGTAAACAACAAATCATTATGCCACGAAGTATGTAGGTAGACTAATACAAGTGTATACAAGATAGAAGAGTGAGTCAATTTCTGCAGGATTCAGAGACCACAGAATACTTGTGGGAAACAATACTTGAGATGTGTTTTCAAATATGAGAGGAATTTGTCAGGTGGAAAAGTGGGCTAAATGTATTTCAGGCAGAAGACGAAGCCTCTTCAAAGATCCATTATATACAAAATATAGTTTTTTAAAATAAAATTTGGACCATAAAATATGAAGGAGGGGATGGCAAGAGATGAGACACCAGATCACAAAGGACTGTTACTGTTATGAGTTTGACTTTTATCTCATAAGTGACAAGGTTTTATTACAAGGGTTTAAGATGGGGATAAATGACCAAATTGAATATTAGAAGATCTTTTTGATGGAACTATGGAAGGTAGATCAGAAGGAATTAAGGCCAGATACAGAGAAGAACACCTATTATACTATTGTACTACTCCATGCAAGAAAGACTGAAAACTTGAATTATAGTCATGGGGAGGACAAAGGTGACATTTGAGTGGGGACATTATAGCAGCTAGAATGGAGAATTAATCAAGTTTTATCACTGCTTTGCATGTGGAATACGACTGAAAGGAGTAATATAGAAAAAGGAGGACCTATGTACTAGTAATACTTTCAACAATAAAGATTTTAAAAAGCACAAAGATAGGTCAATGGATTACTCTGATTTAAAAAAAGATTAATATAGAATGATATTTAAGGATCTGGTTTGCAAAGCAATCTTGAATAGGTAAATAGAGAAGGAAGAGCAGGTTATTAAAAAGTGGTGTTCTGCTTGATGGAATAAAGAGAGTTTGTTGGGTCTGAGGAGTCTTTTTATTGAAGTATAATTGACTTACAATATTACATCAGTTTCAGGTGTACAACGTAGTGATTCAATATTTATATACTAGTACTCATGAAGTGATTATCATGATTAGACCAGTTACTTTCTATCACCATACATTATTACAATATTATTAACTACAATCTCTATGCTGTTTGTTACATCCCTACAATTTACTTATTTTATAACTGAAAGTTTGCATCCCTTAATCCCTTTTACCTATTTGGCCCATCTCCTGCTGTGAGTCTGGGGAGCCTTGAGACATTCGGGTGGGGATGTCCAGTAGGGAATGGAATGGAATCAAAGCCCAGTAAAGGAATTTGGACCAGAAATTTAAATACTGGATTCTTCAGTGAATAGATAGAAGGTAATAACTCAAAGGTTAATGGGATATCCCAGGAAGAGCCTAAGTAATAGTCTTTATAATAGTCATCATTGCCAGGAGTGACTTTCTAGAGTATAGTATTGTTACTAAAATATCAAAATAATTTAAGAAGGTTATAGTGTACCAAATAAAAAGGATTGTGTTTACTCATGCAAGAAAAATCCAGCTCATGGAGATTAAAATCTAAGACTTTTGTATTTTTATTTGTTAGTATATAAATATAACTTCCAAAGTTTACTTTTGTTTCTGGCCATATTATGGTAACTGGTATAAAATATTCCTTTCTGCTGTGATTAATTAGAAAACTGGGCAAAATGTATGAAACAGCTGATTCCATTCATTGGGCACCAGGCAGTATAGCCTAGGAGAGAAGAGCAACAAATGATGCAAGCCCAAAATCCTACCTGCTTTATATGGTTAGGTATTTTCTAGGATGACCCAGAAGAACACAGTGGTCTCACTGAGTTGAGGAGATAGACATTAAAGTCCAGGGATGGGGAGGTGACTAGAACTTGCGAAGAGTAAGATGTAGCATCCAGGATTGGGTGAGGAATCCCCTTGAGTCTGTTGATGAGCTACGAGGAGCTGTAGAC